GTCTGAGGGTGTTGTCTCCATCCTGCAGAGATGCAGGATCAGACCTCATTAATGCTGCATCATCACCATCATCTTCATTATCAGGGTTGCTGGGAAGATTATATATAGATCATATGCAACAGTTGTGATTAATAATACAAATTTAAGATGAGACCTGGGATATTCAGCTTGTTTGTCTCTCTGTCACACACACACACACACACACTTTGCTTAGGCTGCTGCCCCCGCGACCCGACCCCGGACAAAGCGGATGACGATGGATGGATGGATGGATGGATGTCTCTCTGTCTTTTCCTACAGTTTGGCTGTAGCTGCAATTTGGAAGCTGTAGTGGTGAAGTAACTAAGTACATTTACTATCATGTTTGAATGCTCTTCTAAGTTAGCTTACTGTTAGGGTCATATAATGAAATTAATTAAAGGAAACGTCAGTAAAGTCAGCTGGGTTATGATCTGGTGACTGTGAAGACCATAACATATGAGTCACATCATTTTCATCCTCATTAGAGCGACGAGTGAGCCCTGCTGAGCTGTACATGCCCACATCTGTACACATCTGTCCAAATCCTCTAAAACCCCATCAGAACAGAAACATTTTGCTCTGAATATTTTTTATCTGTCTTTCCTAAACATCTATGTTTAAAGAATAACTTTATTCATCTTTACAGGAGTTTGACCATCAGTGAGAACAATTTTGATCCAAACCATGGCAGCAAAACGCCACCACATCCATTCAGTTTTTATTTCAGTTCTAGCTTTAAGATTTGCCATGTGAAGCAACTATAAACACTTTTGCCTTTAAAAAATACATTATAAGAATTGCTCTGGAGCATTAAACCACCTGGACTCACACAAATAAAAAAGCTGCGATCACAATATTATGATATCAACTGATCCTTTCAGTCCTGTAAGCTGTGAGATTTGGCCTCCATGGATCAGACTTGTTTGTTCACCAAATCACACAGATGTTACATGCAAAAGTAACATCCACATTGATGGCAGGACTTAAAGTTTCCTACCAGGACATTGCTCAAAGCACCACACACTGCCTCCTCCAAGTCACCTTTCATCCCATAGTGCATCCTGGTGCCAGGTGTTTTCCAGGTAAGCGATGAACCAAACCCCGTCGTCCACATGATGTTAAAGAACATGTGATTGATCAGACCAGACCAATTTCCTCCATTGCTTCATGGTCCACTTCTGATGCTCACGTGGCCATTGTTGGTGCTTTCAGTGGTGAGCAGGGGTCAGCATGGGCACCCTGACTGTCTGCCCCATACACAATATACTGCGATGCACTGTCTATCAGAACCAGCATGAAACCTTATGGCAGTTTGAGCTACAGTAGTTTGTCTGTTGCATCGGACCACACGGAATGACGATCACTCAAATCATTAAACTGTTTCTTGCTTCTAACATCAACTTTGAGGACAAAGACGAGATGATCAGTGCTGTTCACGTCAGCTGTCAGTGGACAGACTGTTATACCTGATCAGTGTGAATCAGTCATTAAAGGTATGATCCCTGTACATCAGAAACCGTTATTGTAACGCCTCTTCATAAATGAGGAAGTAATTCCAGACCCATCAGTATACCACCCACTCTTTCAGGACAGGTAGGAAAGGTTACAGCTGAACGGCTGATGAAATGCTGAGATGGCAAAAGTACAGATATTCTGTACTTAAATAGAAGTACAGATACTTGTGTTAAAAACTATTCCAGTAAAAGTTGAAGTACCAGCTCTGAAATGTACTCAAAGTAAGAAAGTAAAAAGTATCTCCTTTGACTACTGCCAGCTATTTCTGTGAGCTATTATCAATTCCTTCTTAAAATGTAATTAGTACTGTGCAACAGGAGAGCAATTTTGTTGTATTATCATTCATAAAATAACAATAATAATCTTCCAAAAAGCTTTTTTGTATGAATAAACGTGACATAACTTCAGGTTTGAGGCTCCTAAACATGAAAAAGACGTTTAAGAAGAACAAATCTGTCAACAGCATCAAATCTTAGTGGTAAATGGGCTCATGTGGGCACGACTGACCACACTTGGTCAGCACTTTTTTTGAACACACTCACACACTCATGCAGCCTTATATGATATCCGAGAAGCACTTTGATTATATGGCACATACGAACGATAAATCAGACCCTGTTTCCTGGTACTTTGTTCTGGTCAAAGTACTCGACTCAGTTTAAACACAACTGCTGCCAACAGCTGAAGATCTGTTTGCCTTTGTTTTTGTTATTTTCACCCTGATGCTGGCATGTAGTAGAGATGAGTGAGTTTCATGACACCAACCTTCAGTCCACAACTGTCACTGGAAACTTCTACGCCTACAGATTCTTTATGAAGTCAAGATAACATGCTGTACAAAGGCCGACGTACAAGGCTGTTATTCCACAGGCTGTGATATCTGGGAAATCAGGGCTTCTGTACACAGTCAGCTTGTTGTGAAATCTATTTTCCTCACAGGTGTGTCATTCAGAGGAAAAGTGGGAGTGCCGGGATTTTCTGAAATCTGTAAAAATAACAATAATAAAAAGATAAAAAGA